CGACTTCGAAGGCCGCATTTCGATAAAGGCAAAGTTATAGAAACCTGCGCTATAGCTCAGTCCACACGTTAAAAGACTACAATTTCTTGTAATTTCTGCAGCCCTCCGCTATATATATACAGCGTGCCACATAATGATATTGTGGATTTCGCACATAACACCCCCACGACTATATCTCCTGCATATATACTGTCCGTGAGTTGTCAGACACAAATATTCGCACAAACTAAACGCCCACGCGTATTCGCCCGAACGCCATCACGGCAGATCATTAGGAACTTACAATTTGTATCGTAAACGAGCACTGGCATGATTTTGAGGTGCCGAAAAGTGACTTTTTTTTTTATTTCCACGATATATACAATAAACGATCTTTAAACACCACAGACAGATACTTTGATATTTAAGTATGCTCACCCAATCACAAGCCAGTACTAAACCGCAATCGACATATCCAGGACGAATCAACACAGTTCACTCAGCTTGAGAAATCTGAGTGACGCATATATATAGCCAGGCGTATATTTACTCACCTCAAGCACCTTATCTGAATTCACGTTTACACTCACGTGTACTCCCACGTATTACAAAGCGGTGTCTTCCATACACCATTCAATGTTCATTGATCAGAGGGGTGAATTCCGTATATACCTAATTTACCTTCCACCCCCTATCAACTCCTCCAAGAAATTCCCTGATAAATACATCTTATGTTGTCATCTTTTTAAGGAAAAATGACCCTACTGGTTTAAGAGCACTCGTAACGGGAGGCATGGATATCAAAAGGTGCCAAGAAGAGAACCGAATACGCGAAACATTGGTGTTAAAGAGCATTGACATGATGATGGTTGACAACGACTGCCTAACGGATTCATATGAGTCGACTCACTGAGACCGGCTCAGACTTATACCGAGCCGTGAGTCTGAATCCGAGCTAGTCCGGATAATGTCTTGGTGAGTATGAGTCGTACAGTGAGTCTGATTGAAGGAAACTTTCATAAGGGTGAGTCCGAGTGAGTTCAGCCCAGGAAAATGTTGGTGAGTATACGAGTGAGTTCTATATAGGCGCAAAATAAAATTCATCAGTTTGAGTGAGCTTCAAGAGAGAGAGAGAAATAATTAAAAGGAAGAGACAGGGAGGTTAACCTAGACGAACTGGTTTGCTACCCTGTACGGGGGTGGAGAAAAGGCTCGGAAAGAGGATATAGAGAGATATAAAATAAATTAGAAAAAAACACACATGCGCACACATTCAGGGAAGAGTGAGCTTCAAAATGTTTGCCGTTCTATACAGTGCAGCCTGAAACCACTGTCCGAGTATTGGCTTATGAAAGAAACACTTGGGTCATGACTCTAATGCTCACCACCCTGAATCGGGCAGCCACTACCAGACAAGATGTGGCGAAAAATCGGCGTATACATCATCGCAGAAGCGACTATTCGCTCATCGTTATTTACGTGAACCAGGTGCGGCTGACAGCAAACTGGCCGTTGCTAATATATAGTTGTAGTCTTCCAGTGTCGTCATATTTGTGTTCACACGTCTATAGAAGCCGCTTCCTCAAAATCGAAAGCGTTTTTTTTTTTAAGGTATAGTGGTAATAAGTATATATACATTTAAGAAATTCCCAAGCAAAATATGACGCCGCTTATAGGATTCTCAAGGCCCGTGTTCTTATTTAGAGCGAGAAGCCGAAAATATTTCAATGTCGTGTCAACTGGTACACCTTTAAGTGCTGAACTTTAACTGGAACAATTATGTTCGCAGAAACAAACGCTGCATGCACGAACGGGAAAACAGAGCGACGGCCGCTGGATGGAAATTTTTTCAGCGACCGTGGCACCACAAGAGCAGCACCACAAGAGCAGTGGCATCAGCTGAATTCCTTAACAGGTCAAAACCCTTTTCGAATCGCGAGACATGCAGGATTTATAGTTGCGGACGAACGAGTTCTTCTGCTTATCGTTCCCAGTGGTCTACAGCGGCCCGGGCATACATCTCTTTTTCACAGCACGCATTCGGTCGGATAGCACAAATTGAAACCTAACCATGCGCGTATGGATCTTTCTGTATAGCACGTTTAATTCAGAGGCGACCAGACATTCTGATATATATTGTAAAATATGTTCAAGAAGTCATCTTTACTGACTATACAACTTCATGTGTGCAACTATAATTTCAACCACAAACAGCAGTGGGCATGGAAATGCAAGCGTTAGTTGTTCTTTAGTATACTGTAACGATAACTCTGTCTTGTTGCTCCAAATGCAGCCCACTTGTTCGATACATCGCGCGAACACATAACAAACATGTTCGCATGCTCTCTCTCTCTCTCTCTCTCTCTCTCTCTCGCTCATTTTTCTTTCTTTCGTCAACAATCGCCCTTCCTTTAGAATGACACTCCATGGGTAGCACGCTGCAGCCATTTATATAATAACACATCGGTAAATAGTAAACTTAAAAAGTAATTAGCATTATTGGTATCTGCTTTTGAGGAAACGTTGTAAAGGAAACTTAAAGTTATACATTCGAAGCGTATGTTATCGCTATAGAAGATTGATGCATACCATATTGGTGCCGAACCTGAACCCTATATATACACTCTATAAGAAGTGAAAAAGGAAGAGGGGTATCGAGGTTGCTCCTTTAGAGGAGTAACTAACCTGCCACACACATTGCACCAATTTGGGAGTAACTGCGAAGGAGTAACCATGCTCTCGTGGTTACTCCCCATAGGAGCAACAGATTTTTTTTGTCTTTTTCACAAAAGAAAAACCAGGTTCTGGTTGACTTCACCAGCCTTTTTAAGTACGTGCAGGCACATGATTAGATGTACAATCGATATGCAAGCAATCACATTCGGAAATAAATTTCGGAAAATTTGCAGCAAACACACGCGATTTGCAACTCACGACTATATTCAGTCAGATTACGCGCACACTAAACACTACACCAACCGCGCTACGGCACCGTCTGAAAGCAAACGAGCTTGTGTAGGCATAGATGGCTCGTTTGCACACGGCGCGAATATTCTTGCAGTTACCAAAAAAAAAAAAAAAACGAGCGCTTTACTTCACAAGGAGGAAAGTGCCCCTCCTCGCCGTATATCGTCTGCAATCTTTCGCGCACATTTCGTCTTTAGGAGGAGCAAAGAACCCTTTTCATGGTAACGGCACAGTTCCTCCAGAAAACAGGTGTGTTCAAAGAGTATCGAAGCTTTGGTCAGCAGGAAAGTGTTTCTTGATTATAGGGGTTATCGAAGGAGCACAACCATATATAACACCCTTCAATATAGTCTCATATGTGCACGCCTCTGCCCTCGCACCATTTCTGTAACGCTTTTTTTTAGGTCCAAAGCACATCTCGTCTGATCGGCGTTTCTTGTCGTCCCCGGGTGTCATGGATATACCCACGGTTCATCGCAAAGTTAACTTCACGTGACGACAACGACGTCATCAATTTATGGCATCATGACGACACAAGGTTGGAAAATTTGGCATGCAATCATGGCTGGATCATGACGTGATGAAGCACCTTATAGGGTCTCGGCTTGTCGGCGTCTGCAGCGTCGTCAGGGTGTGCTATGAAGACACTGTCCATCATAAATATGGGTGAGCCACAAAAATTTTGTAACTAATGTGGTACACTACGAGTACAGGCCATATAAGATAGGGAATACCAAGGAGTACTCATGTATTCCGTCGCCTATATGCTATGCGGCGCAAGAGACTGGAGTTATGGTCAAAGGAAATTGGTGCATCCATCATGACAATGCTCCTGCACATTGCTCGCACTTAATGGAAACTTTTTTTTTTTGTAAAAAAAACCAGATACCTGAAGTTCAACAAACTCGTTACTTTCCTGATATGGCCCCTTGCGACGTCTAGCGGTTTCCCAAAATTAAGAAGTCGTTTAAGAAAGCGCGATAGACACGAGATGGGAACGACAGCTCAGCTACAAACGCCAATCCGAAAGAGCCCTTCTTGGAATGATTTCCACAATGGCAGCATCTATGGAAGAAGTGTGTGCAGTCACAAGGAGACTATTTTGAGGGCGATTCCGTATCAAAAGCTCCAGTTATGCCAGTTGGTTTGTTTCTCTCTCTCTCTCTCTCTCTATTTGCCAAAGGTCACGTATTTCTCCAACAGACTTCGTATCACTTCACGAAACTGCAGCAACGGTGAGCGGAGCTTTTTTTTTAGTATATATATATATATATATATATATATATATATATATATATATATATAATATATATATATATATATATATATATTATATATATATATATATATATATATATATATATATATATATATGGGAGAGAAGTGTATACCCAAGGGCTCGTATTCCGTGTTTTAGCACAATATTATGAGATATAACAGACAGTATTGCCAAGGAATGTACAAGGGAAGTTATTAGAACCAATGGAATGCAAATAAGAAAGAAGAAAGAAAAGTGGATGAAAAAATTACCAGCTGTGAGCAGGAATCGAACCTACGACCCTTCGAATGACGCTGTTCATTTACATCATAATTAAGCCCTACCAACTTCTGCCTATCGGTCATTCCGTCAAAAATAAACATGAAGCGACATGACTGACGGCAGCGATCGGAGGATACAGCAGCCGTTTGCAGTGGAAGTGTTTTTATAGTGATTAATCTTACTTAGCGATCTGGGGCGGGATTCCGGGCAATGAACTAGAGCGTGGACTTGGTGCGGGCCAAGAAAATGTTACGGGAAGAAATTTGTGTATACCACCTCGTAGGACGAGAATACATCGTCGTGATTGTCACGTGTTGCCCGCACACACATCGCTCGCACATTACACATGACCAGCGACACGACGTGCGAGCGTCCATGCCGCGCTCGCTACCAAAATACGCGCGCGGTGAAATCCGTGCGAGCGCTCCGCCGCCGCTCATCCGTCCCCTCCAGCAGCGGTCGCTTCGCGATTGGTCAGCGCCTCGCCGGTGGGCGTGGCGCCGACCTATTTAAGCGCGCGCCGCGTGCCCTCCTTCTTTCGGTGCGCCATGCTTTCCTCTCGGTGCTGTGCCGCGCTTGCGCTCGCGTCTTGTATGGCCGTGTTGGTGGCGGCCTGTGCAGCCGCATCCTCCGAGCCAACGACGACGCCGGCCGTCGACGGTGACCAGCGTCGTCTCGACCGGTGCGCCGAGCCGCGGCGAGGCGAACTGCACGCGTTGCGGGGGCGGAACGCTGCAGTCCCGCGCCGTGCGGCTGCAAGCCATCAAGGCCCAGATACTGAGCAAGCTGGGCCTGAAGAGGGCGCCCAACGTGACGCGCCGCGCTCTGCCGGGCATCCCGCCGCTGCATCGGCTGCTGGACCGCTACGACGCCGGCATGATGCAGGCCGACGCGCCCTTCGAGCCCGGAGAACAGTACGACGACGACGACGACTTTCACGTGGCCGCCGAAAAGATCATCACCTTCGGACAGCACGGTGAGGCTCGATCGAAACGCGCTGCGTAGACTTGGGCCGAGTTTGCCGTGGACCTCGTCGATTGAGGGCTGAGTTACCGTTCGGTGATGCGGTTTCGGATTCTGCTCTTTTGTTTCGTTTGTATGCATATACTTAATTCGAATTAACGAGAAAAACGAGAATGGTGCTTTTAGGAATCGTGGCTCACTCTGATTTCATTTCTTCGTTCCCTTCAGAGACCTTCTGCGTGAATGAAATTCGCTCACGCATTTTTTCTCGGCGCTTTCGTTCTATGCCCCAGGTCACCCAATCCAATTTAAATATAAAATAAGCGTGACTTGTTGACGTCGCGGAATCGACGTGTGCAGTCGAATTGATGCCCACATCTCGCGCGATGCCTCGGCGCTGACGGTTTGGCATCCGGCTCTTCGTGCAAGACACGTGCGAACGATTTGGCAATATTGGCAATGCCTGCAGAGATATATTTAGTGTTAGCGCGGTGAATGCTTCTCACCCTCGCGGAGCTTCTCCTCTGTGTTGCCTTTCTTTCGGGTCCTCTTTGTGCGCCCCATATCAGTTGCCGTGCGGGCGTCTTTCCGGGATACACGCGATTCTTGGCCACGCGCCTGCAGCTTGTTCTGACCTCTTGGAAGTCGTTATGTGGGATAAGCGGTGTTTGGCCCTGTTTACGAGATGAGACAGCTTGCGTGGGTGCGTGTGCGTCTTCCATGCTGCCATGGCGCAATTATTATTTTCAAGAGGCGGTGTACTATTGCTCAAGTCCTTTGTGTACAAGCCCGAGGTAACGCGTAATCTGTTCAGTGCTCCTTAGCATTGCCTTGACACGTAGAAAGTGTTGCGCATTTTGTGCATAATTTTATTCCGTGTCGCATTCGCGTGCTGTGCGCTTCTATTTTTTGTGGCGTGGGTGTTTTCGTGTCGAATCGAGGAAATAGCTTCTGCTTTGTCAGAATAATTATTGCTAATACGCGTCATACTTAATTACCTAATCTGAAAAGAAAAAAAAAAGAAATTGTCATTTTTTACGGTGATATAGCGCTGCTCAATATGCATATTACGAGGGGGGGGGGGTGATCACCCCTCTTACGGGACAAAAATTGTTGCCCGCCACGCCCCCTTTGCCCTGCCAAAAGCAAACAGTCGAAACGCAGCGCATAATTAAGTTCCCGGTCCCCTCCCGAAAGGAACTTACCGGTCCCTCCTCGTCACTAAAAATAACTGCTGCACTCAGGTAGCGTGTGGACGTGGTTATAACTGATGTGTATAGATAATGCATTACGTATGTGATCGATAACTATATACTTCACGTAAACGCTCAAACCGCGTTATGACCACTGATACTGCTATTGTGCGTGGTACAAACATTGCATCCCAGTCCTTTCTCTCGCCTTTCTGGCATTTCTAATATGTTTAAACAAGCCAAAAAAGGAATTAAGTGTGCACATTTCAGCTTCCGAGTGTATACCAACATCCTCAACACACATGTTCGTGACGTGTGGCTTATCTGCATCGCCACACACCCCAAGCCACCTTTTTGTTTTTACTGATTCCATGTATGTGTTCGGGGACATCATGTACAGACGCGTCCACTGTTAAAGGGACAACCTGTGTGAACAGCATGTTTAGATTTCGCTATCTTACGGAAGCATATTGGCTTAGAAATGCGAAATACTCACTGCGGTGGTTAAAAGTTGTGACTCCTCTTGACAGACTATATATACTGACGTGCATGAATTAGAGGGCCAGAAATACTGATAGTGTGCATTCGAGTGTTCCCTTTAGCAGTGGACCGTATCGTACAATTAACCTGAAGGGGTCGGACAACTGCTCGTGTTTGCCCATGCCGCGTTTTTTTTTTTTTTTTTCGTTTACTCTGCGCTGCAGAACAAATGGACGCATATATCTCGCCAACCAGCATGTGCGTGCCAGAAACAAGCGTGCCTGAAACGCAAGAATACGAAGTGACAAGTCGGAGTCGTTGCGTTGCGCGAACGAATACTAGCCGTGTGTGAACAGGGAAGCCCCGCCGAGCTGGTTGTGTGTGTGTGTGTGTATATGAGACCACCTTGTCTTCTAATCCACTGTTGTCTGCGTACAGCAGGCGCTTCTTTTTTTTTTCACGTATTTTATTTTGCTGGCGCGCGATACCTATAGAGATAACGTGGCAAAACAGCGCCACTATAGCATTTTCCCTTTTCTCTGCTATTCTGCAGTTCTTTTTATTTTTATTTTTAGCCGACTGTTTGTGATACTTAGTTTCCTACGTATATACAGGTCTTTTCTCAGTTTATCGCTCAGTCATATCTATACCGCTCCTGTCTTTTTTTTTTTTCTTTCGGCAACGTGCCAATTATATCGCGAGCCCCATCTTTGTATACGTCTTCAAGCTTGCGGTATTCTTGCAGCTTATCTCAAAATGTTGTCACTCTGGCGCGCTTTTGCTATGGCGACACGCAGGTGAAACCAAAACCAACACGCGTTTAGACGTTGCGAGAACTTCTTTGATTGATTGATTTGTGGGGTTTAACGTCCCAAAACCACGATATGATTATGAGAGACGCCGTAGTGGAGGGCTCCGGAAATTTTGACCACCTGGGGTTCTTTAACGTGCACCCAAATCTGAGCACACGGGCCTACAACATTTCCGCCTCCATCGGAAATGCAGCCGCCGCAGCCGGGATTCGAACCCGCGCCCTGCGGGTCAGCAGCCGAGTACCTTAGCCACTAGGCCACCGCGGCGGGGCTGCGAGAACTTCTCGCTCGCTTTTTTCAAAATCGAAACTTGCCGCCTCGTTAAATCTTGGTGTTACGTATACCTCGAGTCGTGGCGTCGGATATTTCAAACCACTACATGGCCTATACTTTACGGAAAGGTTAAATCTTAGTGTTATGTATACCTCGAGTCGTGGCGTCGGATATTTCAAACCACTACATAGCCTACTTTACGGAAAGGCTTAACTGCCGTCGTATTGGGCTGTCAACCGTTGTGTTCTTTATGTTTAACGACTGAATGATCAGGAGGTTATGTTTAACGACTGAATGATCAGGAGGTTATGTTTAACGACTGAATGATCAGGAGATGCATACGCACGAAAACAGTTGTGGCCACGATGTTTCACAGCCTCATTAATTCACGTCGTGCTATACAAACACAGGAAAACATCGGCTTAACAGCCCAAAGTGGCGGTGCCCAGATGTCTTGCGGGAAATAGTCTACAACGGCAGAAAAATCACATTCGGACTCGTCGTGATGCCACAAATTGTATGTGCGTGCGCCTGCAAGTGTTGCTTCGCCTGCGTACTTTCTCGTGCAGCGGTGAAGACATTTTTTCTCACACGTCGCGTGTGTTGTTCATACATGTGGGTGTGCAGGATGACTGCATGATTTTGCATCGGGAGAATGTAATGTTGAAATGAAACCACAGAAATGTTTATTTCTTGAACTTCCTATACTTGTAAACGCTGTTTTTTTTTAAAGAGAACGTGCAGTTGTAACCGCAGAATCCTAACTATTTTTCGCACTTCGTTTGATATAGTCACGTTGTTTTGAATGGGGGAGTGTTCATTCACCCGTATACCTTTCGCGCATGATCTTTCTGGATAAAAATAAATACATAAGCGTGCACGCAGCATTTTAACATGTCTCACATAAATTGTTATTTCTGGGTCAGTTGTTTGTGCCTTTTACATTATAGTGATAGAGAATGCGCTAAGACAACCACGCAAATTCGTTTCGAAAAATGGGCAGCTGAGGCGTTTGTGTTGTCTCGGCTTGATTCTGGTTCCCATCCTTGCACGCCCAGTCTTTTCGTATTTAATTTCTTTTTCTTGGTCCCATTTTTCTTATCGGGAAACGAGCGTCTGCCGTGTGCACTCACGACAAGTGTATTCTATTAAAAAAAAACAAGAACTGGCACTTTTTTAGGCAACGCTATGCACAAGAGATAACCTATGCTCTGACGTGGCACTAATTAAGTTGTTTCGACGTTCTTCATCGAGTGCATGCCCCCTTCTCCCAAGGGCGAAGGCAGAAAAAATTTATTTCGTAGGGAGGGAGACGTACAGCTCCTTGATTTCGGGGGGAGGGAGTGGTACCTCTTCGAAATGGTCATTTTTCGCTCTCTATTCTATGGCGAAAAAGTTTCAGGAAAGGGAGAGGGGCACGGTGTGCCACCAGAGGGCAACGCTAATGCCATCCCCCCTCCTGAGGCTTGAAGCATTGATTGATTGATTGATTGATTGATTGATTGATTGATTGATTGATTGATTGATTGATTGATGGAAGCACCTCACCAGGTGTTGCAACGCCTTCGGGATCGGCCAAACTTCATCCGTACGATGGCACCACCATGGCGGCATAAGTTTCGGCGATTTACGACGTCATTTGAGACGTCGTTGGGCATGTGCTCTTTGTGACCTTTTCGCATCATTCTTGTTGGCGCGCCCACTATATAGGCCGCGGATCATTCGACTCAAGCGGCATAAGATTCTCGCCTAGAAATGTTGTTATCATACGAAAAAAAATACAGCAAGGTATACAGGAGAATAGATGTGGACTTCATGTTTTTTACACGTTGTTGACCTAACTCCCGTGTTTTTTTCTTGAAGCACTGCCTTCCACGTGCTGCGATTTTGGCTCGAAAAGCCACCCTCGATATCAGGGCATGTATTATTAACGATAAATGTTTGGGTTTTACGTCCCAAAACCTCGTATTATGAGGTGTGGAGGCCTCTGAATATTTTGACCATATATGGTGTTTTTTTTTTTTTTAACGCGCGCCTAAGTCTATACGTACATATGGGCCTCTATCGAATCGTGTCTATCGAAGTACGGCCGGGATTAGCAGTTGAACACACCCGTTCATCTATTATGCTGGAGTCAGCATCTCTGAATGTTATTGAAAAAGGATGCCCATTCACTCACGTGGAGAAGGTGCATCAATGGCTCGTTTCTATTGTCATTCGTCGGTCCCTTATGCTATCTGTTCAATCGACGTCGA